AGAGAAAGAGAGTTGGTCCGAGCACCGAGCCTTGTGGGACCCCACTCTCTATGAATGTGCACCTTGATTACTGTTGTTCTACGCAGACAATTTTGGAGCGGCCGACAAGGAAATTTTCGATCCATTTGAGAAGTTTGCCACCGACGCCCATAATTCTCAACTTGTGTAGGAGACGCTGGTGCGGAACACTGTCAAACGCCTTCCGAAAATCAATATAGGCAACATGCACGGTGTGTTTTGCGTCCAGTGCTTGTGTCCAAATTTGCATAGTGTATAGCAAGTTCGTAACACATGATCTTCCCCTACGGAAACCATATTGTGTATTGGACAAGAGGTTGTGGGTTTCCAAGTAAGCCATCAACTCCTTTTTGATGGTTTTCTCCATCACTTTGCAGCAAAAATCGACCAGAATTTTGAATAAACGGCTGTATTGCCCTAATAACAATTCTGTCCAGAATCTGCGCAGACGGTCAGACTGAACTGAAAATCTGCGTAGACGTTGTCCCACCCGATCTGCTTAGAATCTGTGCAGACAAATCCACATTCACTTTTTAACCAGACAGAACCCACCCTTCCGCTTTATGTACGAATAACCCACACCTCACCCCCGTCCGTTTTTGCCCCCCCCCAATCACCCCAATTTCGGTTTCCCTTAAGCAGGGCATAAGGAAGGCTGTTTTTTTAAAAATAGCTTTCTATTGAGAAGAGTTATTAAAAGTAGTATTCTCTATCAAGGCGAAAACAAATGGCGAAGAAGCTGTACAAAAATAGGAGAATCGATCTAATATGTACAATTGCTCGAGCTCGGGCTGTGCTGAGGGACTGGCCGGCCCATGGAATGACTGGTTTCTTTCGTTGTCTGAAATCAAAGAAGAGGATATTAATTGCGGTGTCAATTGAAACATTGAGTGCCAACAGAATATTACTATTCTGTTACCACGTGGTAAAGAAATACGCATTAAGGAATAAAGCGTTATGAAGACATCACTAACCGTCGGGACATTGTGAGGATGATAGCCTATAACCTCGCTTGTGCAGTCGGTCGTAAGCCTTCATGAAGACAGTCCGGAAAGCCTTGTCTAGTTGGTGCTGGTCGCAATTGCGCGTGGCGTTCCACACTGAAAGCATCTATGTTGTTACATGATACATAACGAAATTGAATGATGTACCGACAAACAAACCGTACGGTTTGGATCCATAGAAAACCCTCTTCTCCTGGGGCCGGCAGCAAAAAGTTAGGTGTAGGTTTATCCTCTCAGCAAACAGGATATTGAACGTTCTATCCGCGAAGGCGGAAATAATGTCACCTCCGTACGTTGGCCGTGAGGTAAGAAATCTAGTGAGAAATGATCAATTACAGAGTATATTTACCGCTTGCTGCCTGAACCTCGTGTCCAGTATAAGGTTTGTAAAGTCCTCCAGCTCAGCCAGGGTAGCCATGCGCTGGAACACAGGCCCATGAGGTGCTGGAGTGGGTGTTGACCCTAGCGGCTGTCGTAGAGGATATCTAATTTAACCTTCATGTCTTCTATGGTCTTCGCCGTATGGACCAGACTTTCCATGACCCAGCACAGACAGACTTTCAAAGTATTCTCCCTGCACCTTGGTGGCGAGGTGTGGCGTCGACGCTTTCGATGCCTTCTCCTCGGGCCTAGGGCGAACAGGTCAGTTGAGATGACAAATACCTGCGTGTGGAGACCCGCCTAAGGGCATGGTCGCACTGGAGTCACTGTGATCCA